CAGCCGAGCTCCGCAGCCGGTGCGCTCCCCAGGGCCGGGCCTCTGCGGGGCCTGGGAGGCCCGGCCTGCCCGCGCCGGCCAACAGGCCCAGCAGCCCAGGGCCGCAGCAGGACGCTGCTATCCAAGCAGGCCCAGGCACCCAGTCGGCTCCTATTAATTGCTGGCGGAATGCAGCCACGAGTTGGCGGGGAGGCAAGCAGCTCCCCTCTCCTCCTCGCCAGTCGGCGGAAGTCAGAGGTGTGGATGCCCCTTCCCGCAGAGGGGCCCACCAGGGTCACCCATGGGTGGCGGGTGGCTTGCCCGCCACCCCCTCCTCCTCCCTGCCAGCTGCCTCCCGGAGCCGGCTGGAGAGGGCGTCCGGGATTCCATGTCAGCCCCCCCACCCCGACAGGGCCAGGGCGTAACCCTGAGTGTGCCGCTCCCACACTGGGGGGGCCTCCCCGCCACCAGCCGGTCACTTCCTATTGGCAGGCCTGGCCTGGGAGAGGTCCCTGGAGCCCAGGCTGGGGCAGGGGCCCAGGTCCGGCCTTCGCCACTGCTGCCTGCTGGTGTAGGGCTCCAGGCAGAGACCATGTCCCCTGAGGGCCACTCCCGAGGGGCCTGCAGCGCTGGGCCTGGCACCTAAGGCTGGGCTCGGGGCTCTGTTTACCGCCCGCCATCGCTGTGGAGACGAGCCTGGGGGAGGGGGTAGAGCCGCAGCCGCGAAAGCCAAGCCTCACCAAGGAAAGAGGAGCCAACGGGGACACTGAAATTTTAATTCGTGGGTCACTTGGGGGGTATTTATTATTCAGTTCTGATTGGCTGTGTGGTGGCCAGTCAGCACCCTGGCCGGGGCTGGGAGCCGCGCAACTCTTGGCAGAGGGAGGAAGAGCTGATGTTGGGGTGCTGATGGCCCTGGCTCCTTGGGGAGACTTGAGGCTGGTGGAGGCAGGTGGCCCAGGCCCAGCAGGGAGGGGTCCTTAGGCTTTGGCCCGTCCTGGTTGGTTTTGGTCTGTTCTGTTCTTTGAGGCCATCTGATTTGTAACTGGATTGACCTGGTCGTCCTCCCTGCTGCTATAGGAGGAAACTGAGGTCCAGAGGGGAGGCAGCTCCTGAACTGGGGCAGAGGATGTGGAGGCGCACGGAGACCGAGAGCAGCCCAAGGTCACCCAGCCAGTGCTGGGTCTGACCCTTTTGGTTCTGTTTCCCAGCATGGGGCCTTTCCCAAGTGTCTCTAGTCCCTGTGTCACAACCGGCACCTGCTCACCTGTGTCTCCCAGAGTGTGAGAGAGGTTGGAGGTAGAGCCCTCACTACTGTCACCACAGCTTCGCCCAAGGATGACATTGAGGCTCAGAGAGGGCCATTGAGATTCTTGAGGTCACACAGCACAGGCTCCAGTCCTCCTGCCTGCCAGTCTGCTATGGTAGACACTTTAAGTGTGCCATGTGCACAGGGGACCCCTCCCTACCCCTGCTTAGCTGTAGCACTCCAATCCCACACTTTGGCCTGTGAGGCGGACAGGGCTCTGGATTTTGAGGTTTGTACTAGAGGCAACCCAAGTCTCTGCTCTAGAGCCAGAACTCCTGGCCAGGCCTGTAAGGCAGACTGGCTGTGCAAGGGGTGGTCTGGGCATGGAATGCTGGCCCACTTGTTCTGTGACCTTGGTCAGGCCCCCAGGCCCCTGGTTGTCCTGTGACAGCAGCATTGTCTTAGGGTTCCAAGTGGCGTCTGCAGGTCCCTCTGACCTCCCCTTACCCCTTGTGGAGGAAGCAGCTGGGGCTGCTTAGGGCACTTAGGGATCTGCTGGGTATTGGGAGTGGGCTTTGGCCACCAGAGACACCCTCAGTACCCCCTGACAGTTACCTTGGGCCACGCGCACCTGATAGACCAGAAGTGCCTTCCGGTGGCCCTGGAGAGCCGGCTGTGCGGGATGGTCCTGACCCCACCCAGACTGGCCCCTTGCTCTCCGCCTGTCTTAGCGTCCCCATCAGTGGGACAGGGAGAGCATCTTCACCCCGGTGTCGTTCTATGCAGGAGCAAGTGTTGAGCAACTGCTGCGCTGTGTCAGGGCCTTGGGGAGCCCCCCCCCCCCCCCCGTGCTGGACTGGAGGGGTTAGACCTGGCACCCTGAGTTGGCGGGTGTCAGCTGTCCTCCAGCCCTGTCCCCAGGCCCCGGGTGACCTCTCCATTCTCTGTGCCATTGCAGGATCTCTGAGGGGCCTGAGAAGAGGCCAGCCTGAGTCTTTGGCCTCAGGGTGTGTGGGGGGTTCATGCCATGGTGGTACCTGGGGCTGTGTTGGAGGAAGGGAAATAAGGAGACCTGGGAGGACTAGTTAGGCAGGACTAGTCAGTTAGATGGCCTGTGTTCAAATTCCAGCTTTGCTGTGTGACCCTAGGCAAGTCCCTTTCCCTCTCTGTGCCTGTTTTCTACTTGTAAAATGGGGCAGTAATTGTGGACCCTCCCTCCTGGGGCAGTGCGGGTCGACCTGTACAGGACTCTGTCTAGAGGCCCGCAAGACCCGAATTCAGAGCCCCGTGGCACAGGAGGTGCCCTACAGAGAATCTGGCACTCATGAGGCCTGTGGACAAAGGCCCAGCCCCTCCATCTGTCCCCCCAGCAGGCTGTGGATAGCCATGGCCACTCATTGGAAGCGTCCCACCCACGCCTTTCTGGTTTGACTGGAAAACAAGGTCCAGTACCACCTCCTATCAGCATGTCTGGCAGGAGGGCTCTGTCCGGATCCTGCAGGCAGGCCACTGGGCGCCAGGGTCCCTTCACCCCGGGCTTCCAGGCTGGGTGGGGTGCTGCAGATGGCCCAGGTGTCAGGGGGTGTGCCTCCAGGAGAGGTGGATCGGTGGAGCAGAGCAGGTCCTTCCAGGTCACTCTGCCACTCTTGGGCATCTTGGGTAGCAGGTGCAGGCAGCCTCGGGCAGGACGAGGTGGACAGAGCTGGGATCAGGAGGAGTCAGGTCCTGCTCACCCCTGGTGACAGGAAGCTCCTTCCCTCCCCACCTCCACTGTGGACGGCCAGTTTCCTGAGGCTGTCTCAGAACCAGACTCTGGACTCGACTTCTGGCCTGTGACTCCACTGAGAGTGGAACAGGGTGGGCTGCAGCCCCACCCAGGACTGAGGGGTCACCTGGGGTCCCCAGGGCCTCCTTGTCTCCATCCCTACCCACACCCACACACTTCCCACCAGGAGGCTGCTTTCCTGCCTCTGGCCCTTTAAGGCCTGGGCAGGAAGCCCCTCCCCATTTAGGGCAATAAATGGACATGTAAAATGGCCGAGGGCCTGCCTGCGCCCTGCCTGGCCTGGGGGAGGCCTGCCTGCCTGTGAGGGCAGGAGGACAGGTGGGCAGGGGGCTGGCTGGCGGCCGTCCGGCTGTTGGTGCCCCTTGGTCAGGACCCTGCATTCCTGTCCTGTGAAGCTCGGGCCAGGCGGGAATTGGCACCAGGTCTGGGCGGGGTAACCCTCTGGACCAACCTTGCCACACAGGCTTCCTGACTGGGAGGGCAGGGGCTGCTGGGCGGGGCCTGGCAGCCACACCTGCCTGCCGACTTGCTGTGTGACCTTGGGCTGCTGCCCACCCTCTCTGGGTCTGGTTGTGGCCTTTGGTTTCCCAGCCAGGCTCTCCCACCCTCTTCCTCGGCCAGCAGCAGGGGGTTGTGGGGTCTGCGGGCCTGGCTGGCCTGCCCTCTGGGCCCCGTGTGGTATGCACCGGGTCCTCAGGCAGACCTTGCCCATGGACGTGTGTGTCCTCGCGCTCCCTGGCTGTAAAGGGGCCCTTCATACTGCCGTCGCCCCCTCCCCAGGAGACTGAGGCTCTGAGAGTGGTGCCTCTGGTTCAAGGTCAAGTGGTTGCAGGGGGTCGACCTGAACCTGCTGGCCCTCCCCTTGACTGTCCTCTTCCCTCCCTGGGTGGGGAGGGGGCCTCCACCCCCTGAGCTTCACTGCCCAGGAAGTGCCCTCCAGGAAGGCAGCCGATGGCAATCACCTGCTCAGCCCCGCCCCCTGGCCCCTTCCTGAGCAGCCCCCCCACCCCAGCCTGCCGCGTGACCTTGGGGGGGCGAGCCCCTTCCTGCCACCCCTGCCCCGTTTTGCTCAGCCTGTTCCCGGGCGATCTGGGGTCCTTCCTAGGTGACCCCACTGCCCCTGTCCTCGGCAGGGCCCATCAGGGAGGGCTCCCAGGCAGCCTGGATCCCTGCCTCCGCAGAAGCCAGGGCTGACCCAGGTTGGAGGGTGGGCGGGGCCGGGTGCTGTGGCCCTACTGTGTGCCCCTGGAGGAGGCCAGGCTGGGGAGCCAGGTGCGGCTCCAGCCCTGGAGGGGCCTGCTGGGGCCTGCCGCCCGCCCGCCCGCCGAGTCAGCACCCCGCAGCCCCGGAAACCCCACAGGGACCTGGGGGAGGAGCTGCTGTGACGGTGGCCCGAGGGTGGGTCTGGGCCAGGGTGGGGTGGGCTTCCTGGGGAGAAGGCGTGGCACTACTCGTGGGTGACAGCTGGGTCACCTACGTGGAGGGGAAGCCTAGACCCCCAGGGAGGAGTGGTGGGCGCACAGGTGCTCCTGTCCCGGGACCCCAGGGGCTCGGCTGGGCCCTGTTTCCTCCCGCTGCGAAGCAGGGTCTTGGGCCTTGTTCTCAGGGAGAGGCCCCCAGAGGCCCAGGTGGGGGTGGTGGCCGGGGTGTGGCGGCAGGTGGCTGGTGTTCCTGGAGTGGGCGTGGGTCGGGAGTCTGCTCAGCCGGTGTGGACTGCAGGCCGGGCCCTGGGGTTCTGGGCTGGGGCCAGCCTTGCCGGGTGCCTTGGCCGGGCTCTGGTCTGCTCTGGGTCTGGGTTTCCTCCTGTGTCGAGTGAGGGCCTGGGCACCCGGGGTGCTTTCCTGTGTGGGGTGAGATGGTCTCTGGTGACATCTGGGAGGGAGAGGGCAGAGGCACGGACCCTCTGGCCCAGCTAGGCCCCATGGTGGCCTGGAGTCCGGGCATCTTAGCACTTAAAATAGGGCTGTGGCAGCCCCTGGCCCTCAGAGCCCGGCGCCTGGTGGGGCGCCAGGGTGGTTTTGCCGGAGGGGGTGGGGCAGCCACCGCGAGGGCTGAGTCACTTGGACCATTTCGGGTCCCAGCCTCGAGGCCCCTGAAGACACCTCTAAGCCATTCCCGAGGGGACCCCAGGTCACCTAGGGGAGAGCGGACCAGGGTGGCCATCTTGGGGCGTCGGTAGCCTGGGTCAGAGGTCCCGTCCCTCCCGTGTCGGGCGGGGAGGGCTAGGGCTGTCTGATCCAGAGCCCCATCTGCCCACACGCTGCCCGAGGCCCGGGCCAGACGGCAGATGGTGGCAGGGGGTGGGAGCCACCGGAGGGGGCTCCTGGGAGGCTTCCCGCCATGCCGCGTGTAGGGGCCATCGAGCCTCCCCCCAGGCCAGGGACGGGGAGTGAGCAGCTGGTGCAGCGGGAGAGGGTGGGCGGGCGGCCGAGGGGCCGCGAGTCCCAGGAAGCGAGCAGCCGCACAAAGGCCTCTTGTGGCCCCGGCTGGACCCTGCGCCAAGGGCCACCCTGGGGGGAGAGCGGCCGAGGCTTTGGGTTTTGCTGGGCCAGCTCTGGGCCTCGCTTGCTGGCCTCACCAGGCTCACGGGGGTCAGGGCTGGGCGGGCCACAGGGCTGGGAGTTAGGGTGGGGGTCTTGGCCCTGTCCTCGGGTGACATCCAGGGGTTCTGGCCTGGGAGCCGCTGGGCCCAGAGGACCTGGAGGAATGTGGGCTGTGCTGGGTGGCGTGGGGCAGCCGGGCTCCCTGGAGAGGGTGGAGGGTGGGGACAGGAGCCAGAGGGTTGCACAAGTGCCCGAGTGGGCGGGTGAGTCACGGCCCAGGGGAAGGCGGAAGGAGGAGGGGTGGGGAAGAGGGGGCGGGACGGACAGTCTCCCCAGGGCCGGCCCCTCCAGAGACCTCTGCCCATTTGACAGATGGGGACAGTGAGGCCCAGCGTATGCCAGGGTCCTCCGCTGGGCTGGACAGCACAGCTGGACAGAAGACCTGCCAGAGCCAGCTGTGGGACTGGAGGTGGACAGAGCCCCCGGCCCCCTGCCACTCCTTAGGGGACGGCCTGGGCGGTGCCTGGTTTTCCCTCTTACTCACTGCCAGGGCTGAGCCCGTCCTGGGGGCTCACGAGGCAGGAAGACGGTCCAGCAGTCCCGGCCCTGCTGCAACAGGGCCCGTCCACGGTGCCCTTGACCCTGCCCGGGGCACAGCCTGGGTGCCAGGTTTTGGCCTCACTCTTGCAGGTCTTGGGGCAGCAGAGAGGCCGTGTTCCTGGGTCTGAGTCCACATGCGGCCTGCCCTCCCTGGGGTTCCCAGCTGCCTTCTCACTGCCCTGGGGCGGGGAGCACAGTGGGTGGCTCCTGGGCTCCGACTCTTGGGAACCCAGCTGGTGCCTGTGTGCCGAGGCCTCCGTGCCCCTCAGGCAGGCCTCCTGTCCTCCAGGCTGGGCACAGGTCTGGCCAGCACGGTGTCGCGTCCTGAGACAGCTCAGGACCCCTGAGTGCCTTCACGTCTGGCCAGGGAGAGCAGGTGGGGTGACGCCAGGTGCTACCGCCGCGGTCCCAGGCCCCGCTCATGAGCCCCTTCTTCCCTCTGCAGGTCTCACACGGAAAATGGCCGGCGGCGTGGACGGCCCCATCGGGATCCCGTTTCCCGACCACAGCAGTGACATCCTGAGCGGGCTGAATGAGCAGCGCACGCAGGGCCTGCTGTGCGACGTGGTCATCCTGGTGGAGGGCCGCGAGTTCCCCACGCACCGCTCCGTGCTGGCCGCCTGCAGCCAGTACTTCAAGAAGCTGTTCACGTCGGGCGCCGTGGTGGACCAGCAGAACGTGTACGAGATTGACTTCGTCAGCGCCGAGGCGCTCACGGCGCTCATGGACTTCGCCTACACGGCCACGCTCACGGTCAGCACGGCCAACGTGGGCGACATCCTCAGCGCCGCCCGCCTGCTGGAGATCCCGGCCGTGAGCCACGTGTGCGCCGACCTCCTGGACCGGCAGATCCTGGCGGCCGATGCGGGCGCCGACGCGGGGCAGCTGGAGCTGGTGGACCAGGTGGGCCAGCGCAACCTGCTGCGGGCCAAGGAGTACCTCGAGTTCTTCCAGAGCAACCCCATGAACAGCCTGCCCCCCGCCGCCGCCGCCGCCTTCCCCTGGCCGGCCTTCGGGGCCTCTGAGGATGACCTGGATGCCACCAAGGAGGCCGTGGCTGCCGCCGTGGCCGCCGTGGCTGCCGGCGACTGCAACGGCCTGGACTTCTACGGACCAGGTCCCCCGGCCGAGCGGCCCCCAGCAGGAGACGGGGACGAGGGCGACAGCAACCCGGGCCTGTGGCCAGAGCGGGATGAGGACGCCCCCACCGGGGGTCTCTTTCCTCCACCAGCGGCGCCCCCGGCCACCACGCAGAACGGCCACTACAGCCGGGGTGGGGAGGAGGAGGCGGCCTCGCTGTCGGAGGCCGCCCCTGAGCCGGGCGACTCTCCCGGCTTCCTGTCGGGCGCAGCCGAGGGCGAGGACGGGGACGCGCCTGATGTGGACGGGCTGGCGGCCAGCACGCTGCTGCAGCAGATGATGTCCTCGGTGGGCCGGACCGGGGACAGCGACGAGGAGTCGCGGGCGGACGACAAGGGCGTCATGGACTACTACCTGAAGTACTTCAGCAGCGCCCACGAGGGGGACGTCTACCCCGCCTGGTCCCAGAAGGGGGAGAAGAAGATCCGTGCCAAGGCCTTCCAGAAGTGCCCCATCTGCGAGAAGGTCATCCAGGGCGCCGGCAAGCTGCCGCGGCACATCCGCACCCACACGGGCGAGAAGCCCTACGAGTGCAGCATCTGCAAGGTCCGCTTCACCAGGTGAGCCGCCCGCCCCGGCCCCCTCTTTGCACATCCCCCACCTCCGTTGCTCCAGCTCCATCTGGGGGCAGCCCAGGCACCAGACAGACGACCTGGTCAGACAGATAGCATGAGCCAGGCATGGTGGCTACTCCTGTCCGCCCAGCGGCCTAGGGAGGCTGAGGCAGGAGGATCCCCAGTCTGAGGCCGGTTTGAGTGACTTAGCAAGGCTCTGCCTCAAAGCCAAGTGAAAGGGCCTGGGTGCGGCCTGCAGCAGCACAGCCCAGGCAGGGACCTGACCGGCTCTTCTGTTTGGGGTGGCCCTTCTCTGTGGAAGGAGGGCTCCCCGACTCTGCCTTGGGAGGATGGGATGCTCTTGGGGAATGAGCTGTGGAGCGGGTAACCTTCTCATTTGGCCCACGTTTGTCAGGCACTTTCTGTATGCAGCCCTGATCAGGCCCAAGGGCGCACAGCGTGGAGCAGGCACAGTCCCTATGGGGCAGCCGGGGCAGCGGGCGGACTGAGACATGAGCACCAAGACTCACAGGGCACAGGGAGGAGCCCTGAAAATGGTGGTCAGGCAGAGACAGCCAGTGCAAAGGGCCTGTGGCTGACTTGACCTGGACAGAGCCAGGGACTCGGTCCCCGGGGTGCACTCAAGGCCAGGCTGGGGGCAGGTTGCTGGGGGCAGTCTTGGAGTTCAGAGGTGGCTGGCTGGGTTGTGTGGAACCAAGGCAGGCCAGACCAGTGGGGGCGGTAGGGCTGGCAGGCAGGGGCCCGGCCAGGCAGGGTGACTCAGCGTCACCCCCTGCCCCCCACCCGCCATGGGGTTCCCCCTGCCACGCCTACCAAGGCAAAGAAAGAGGCCATTGTCCCAGCTTCCCAGCCCCACCCCACTGGGACAGGAACCCAGGCTGACCCCTCCCCAGCACCCTTGGCCCCCTCCCCAGCAGGCCAGGAGAGGCGGGTGGGGCCCAGTCTGCAGTGCCAGGTGGGGGCAAAGGGCACCGCTGAGGCAGCCCAGCTCCTGCTCTGTGAGCCTGTCCTCCGTCTTGGACCCTTCCTCCCCCAGGCAGGGGTCCTGAGGGGCTGTGAGCTCTGTCCAGGGCTTTCTGAGCTCCACAGAGGCCAAGGGCCTGCCTCCCCTGGGGCCCATCCAGCCGAGTGTAGGGAAACTGAGGCACGCACGGTCCCCGTGAGGCCCCTTCTCCCACGCACAGCTGGCTTCCGCTTTATCCCCCTCCCCAGGGCCCCGGGTCCTCCCATCCAGGCCTGGGAGCCCAGGGGCCCCTCTGAGTCAGAGCAGAGCGTTGAGTAAGCAGGGCCTGTGGCAGCCGGGCTATAATTACCCAGGCCGGGGCTCGGGGTGATGAAACTGGGCTGCCTCCACCCCCACCCTGCCTCTGCTCGGCCCCTGGCCCGCTGTGCAACCCTGGGCACGTCACTTCCCCTCTCTGAGCCTCCCAGCCTAAGCTGGGCTCTGTGTAGTGCTTGAGGCCTGCGCCAGGGCTGGGCAGGGCACCTGAGAGACTGCAGCGGGGGGTTTGTGGACGGAGGGAGCGGCCTGATGCCTGAGGACTGGCAACACAGGTGGGCTGAGTCCTGCTGGCTCCAGGGGCTGCAGAAATGGCGAGGGACAGGAGCTTGGTGTAGGGAGTGGTCCTGACCCCTGGGGCAGCCGAGAGCCACAGGTGGTCGGAGCGAGCAGCGACCCAGGTCTGCAGGCAGTGCCCGGGGAAGGTCTTGGGCCTGGAGAGTCAGAGGGGCAGGCAGGGAGGCCTTGAGGGAGGAGTAGGAGTCCCCACTGTCCCCGCTCACAGCCCCATGTGGAGTGCGGGATGGTGATGGAGAGGAGCCTGGCTGGCGAGGTGTCCCTGGCAGTGAGGACTGGGCATGCAGAGGCCCGGCAGGCTGTGGAGTGACAGCCAGGGTGCCCAGGTGCTGAGGGTTAGGAGGGTCGCAGGGCCTGGCTGTCTAGGTGGGGCCTCAGTTATGCAGGGGGCCAGTCGCCCCTGTGTGTCCAGGACTGAGGGATTTCTCGGCATGGAGGACTTTGAGTACTTAGATCAGAACTTTGGGTCCCCTGTCTGTCACCAGTGCCCAGGAGGTGGCAATGGGAGGGCAGGGCCACCCCGCTCACTGTGCAGTTTTCGGCTCCTGTGGGGTGAATGCAGCCGCCACTTGCTGCCCCCC